AGAAAGAAATAAAATTAGATGGTTTTGGTTCAAAACTAACACTGAATATCCAGATCATGACATGCAGTTCCAGAAACATAAAAAATTCAACAAAAAACACACAATGCGAGCTAAAAATGAGAAAGTGCGAAAGAGGAAAAACTTACTTCCGGATAGCCCAAAAGAGAAAATAAATACCTTCTTGCAAGTGAGGGGAGAAGCTAAGAAATAAACACAATCGGTGTTGCATTCCAGTAATTCTTCCTCCATTTTTTCCTTGTAAATAAAAAGCTGAAAGACAGAGCACTGCTTGGGTTTACAATTTTACATGGCAGAAAATTAAAGAACAAAAACCAAACGAGAGTGCATGCGAGCGAAAGAGACTGAGAGGTGAATGCGCTGTTTGGGATTTCATTATATTTGATCATCTGTTGGAAAATCTTTAACCACAAGGATTAAACGAATAAATTATTATATTTCATTTATAGAAAACAATTCCAGCTTTGTTGGTGATTTTCAACAATGATACTTAGTTAATCTTAGCAGTATTTGTCAACTCTGCATTTCTAATCCCATTTTTTTCTCACAGCATTTCATCGAACATCTATGATTCACCTGAGGTGATCTGTATCTAACATTAAACCTTGAATCGTTGATGGTCCCGATAGTCCCTTGGTCGTGTCTTATCTCAATGGACCCTTATTCAAGTCAACACCTCCACATAATTCAAAATTATATTAGAATTTCCCATGCATCACTGACTAAAAAGTTACGCTGGAAATGAGAAGAGAGAAGCGAAAAAGGAAATTTGAGATCGAAAAGGAATTTAGGGTTTAGAATGAAATTGAGGACTGTGTTGCAAGTTTTAAAAGTTCAGGGACCTAAATGCAAGCGTCTGAAAAGTTTAGTGACCATATTGCAAACGTACTAACGATAGTATAACATCGGGGACCATATTGCAAACAGACTAATGTTAGAGGACTGCATTGCAAGTTTTAAAAGTTGGGGGACCTAAATGAAAGCTTTAGAAAAGTTCAGTGACCATTAATATATTTTACCTTGAAATTAATATTATCTGAATTATTAGTTTTAATTTATTTTAATACTAAAACTTTTAATTTTCTCAAAATTATACCTAACATTTAATTTTTATTTTATTTTAGTATTTTTCCGTTAAAAATTTAACATCACTGTATTTTTATGGGTAAATTACATCATTTATCACTAAATTTTCTTCTCACTCCTATTTTGGTATTAAAGTTTAAATTGCTCCTATTTTAACCACTATAATTTATTTTATTACTAGTTTTGGTGACATGATATTTTTCTATTATTATTTTCTTAATATACAATTAAAAATAAAACATAAATTTGAAAGTTAGAGTGTTAAATTAAGAGTAATTTGAAAGTTAAGTAATTAAATTAAAAAATTAAACTTTGGTGACCAAAATAAGAGTAAGAAGATAATTGAGTGATAAATGATGTAATTTACCCATAAAAAGGTGTCATGTGCAAATCACCCGTCAAGTTTTCAATGGTGAGGTACTAAAACGAAAAAAAATATGTTAGGTATGATTTTGAAAAAATTAAAAGTTTAGGTACTAAAACGATCAAAACCGATAGTTTAAGTACTAAAAGCGTGATTTACACTTTTTCTTTTTTACCTATGTCTCACTCTTTTACACATGTAAAAATAAATCTATCAAAAATAATTTTATAATTTTCTCTAGATAAATATATCTCTTAAAATTATAAGCAATATAAGACACAAATTATGAGATTGTGAGATATAATATTCCATAAATTCAATAACCGATTGTCAGGGATATTACTCAATTTTTAAACTTTAATGGTAATGAAACACTGAAACAGAGGCTGGATTTCATTTAACGTCCAATAAAATTAATAATAAAATTAATACATGAATGAAAGAAGGGATTTTCTTAGACGACAAGAGTATGATACGATCACAACAGATATTATAATCAGGCATTTGAAAATAAAAATATAAGATGATCTATTTTTTGGGAGACAAATTATCCTTTTATATAATTGATTTAAAAATCAATTATTGTATGTAAATTCTGACCCTCATTAAATTATAAATTCAACTTTAATAATATATATATATTTTTATTTTCATAATACTTCTAATACTTCATAATTTTATAACATAATTATCATTTAATTTATATCATATTTTATGATAATAATATAAAAATATATACCTATAATTCTAAATTTCAATCGTAACACCCTTGAAAAAAAACCCTAAACTCTAAACCACCCTAAAATTTAAAAGTAAAATTAAACAACTAATCTAAGAAAAAATTTCGAATGTTATTTTAGATCCCGAAAGACACTTTTCACCAAACGTATAGATGTTATTATGAATGCAAAAATCATTCCCCCGTAGAAAAACTACCTTTTAAATATATTGTCATATATGCGAAATATACTTTTTATATATATATAGAAAAGTGTTTTTTAAATGATTTTTACTAAAAAAATAAGGGTAAAGTATATAAATGGTCATTGAACTTTTCAAATTCTTGCATTTAAGTCCCCCAACTTTTAAAACTTGCAATACAATCACCAAACATTTAGTTTGTTTACAATATGGTCCCTGTAACGATCGTTTCACTGCCGTTAGGGTAAATTATATAAATGGTCACTGAACTTTTCAGGCGCTTGCATTTAGGTCTCCCAACTTTTAAAACTTGCAACACATTCATCAATTACATTCTAAACCCCAAATTCCAAAATACTTCAATTACATTCTAAACCTCAAATTCCAAAAATACTTCAATTACATACCCAACCCCAAATTCATAATCTATTCTCAAAATCTGTTATGACAAATTAAACTTGAAACAACAACCCTAAACCCTCAAAACATAACCTTAAATGCTAAATTTTCCCACCAATTAACCCAACATAATCAACAACATTTAGTTCATTTTGGGTCCATAATAATAAGTGATTATGTTGGGTTTAGATTTTAAAGTTAGATTTAACAAACTATAAGTGAACAATACTCAGTTTGATTCGAAAAAATTATATTTTCGACTTGAATTGATTCAAAAAAATTGATACAAATTGACTTTGAGTTGTAATTTCATAAACTCAACTTAAAACATTTCAAGTTAAAATCGAGTCGTAAAATACAACTCGAATATCTCAAAATTTTTAGTAATTAGTGGATTAATTTTTAAGTTCGTGTCAAGTGCCTTGACTCTGTATGATATATGTATATCACATATGGAAAAAAATTTGAAGAAATATATGTATTGTATATGGTTAAAACATATTTAAATTAGAATCAAATAATATTATAGTATTACAAATATTTATAATTAAATTTAAACAGAAACTCGAAAATTCAATTAAATTCGACTTGATATAAATTTTATAAACTCAAATCAAAAACATTTTGAGTCAACTATTTTATAAACTGAACTGAATTAGAATCAAATAATATTATAATATGATAAATATTTATAATTAAACTTAAACAGGAACTCGAAAATTCAATTAAATTCGACTTGATTTAAATTTTATAAACTCAAATCGAAAAAATTTCGAGTCAACTATTTTATAAACTGAATTGAGTATTTAGGTCTAACGTAACCCTAAACCCAACATAATCACTTATTGTTCACTTATATTTGGTTAAATTTTTTCGAAATGGTTATGTTTTGAGGGTTTAGGTTTGTTGCTTCAAGTTCAGTTTGTTATGACATATTTTGAGAATGGATTATGAATTTGGGGTTGGGCATGTAATTGAAGTATTTTGGAATTTGAGGTTTAGAATATAATTGAAGTATTATGAATTTTAGGGTTTAGAATGTAATTGATGATTGTGTTGCAACTTTTAAAAGTTGGGGGACTTAAATGCAAGCGTCTGAAATGTTTAGTGACCATTTATATAATTTACCTTAACGGCAGTGAAACGACAGCTATGTCGGGGACCATATTGCAAACGAACTAAATGTTTGGTGACTGTATTGCAAGTTTTAAAAGTTTGGGGACCTAAATGCAAGCATCTGAAAAGTTCAGTGATCATTTATATACTTTACCCAAAAAATAACTATGAATGAATATTATTTAAGTTAAACTACAAATTTAGTATTTAAACAATTACTTTTGTTTTATTTTGGTATTCAAATTTTATTTATTTTCAAAATTATATTTAACGTTTAGTTTAAGTTTCATTTTAGTGGCCGTTAAAAAATTAACAAAATTATTGACGTGATATTTTTAATTTTTTTTAATAATAATGTGATATTATCTTATAATGACACGTTAACATCATTACTAAGTTTTTAATGGTGAAGTACTATAATGAAACCTAAACAAAATATTAAATATGATTTTTTTAAAAAAAATTAGATAAAAAAAAGAATACTTTAGACACTAAACGTACAATATACTCTATTATTTAAATAATAATTACTTTTTTGCAAATAATAAATTATTTGATGTATATGTAGTGTAGGTAATAATGCGGTGATTGTTCCAGAGAGAAAGGAGCACCAGATTTTACTGGTCAAAATAATATACAGAGCGTGGGGATAAGGATGAGTCTCCGGTGAATATTGTATATGTTCGATTAAAATATATAATTATAAGTATGTTTTTTAATATATATTATTATTATTGTAAAACGTGACATAAATTAAATGATTAATTATATTATAAAATTATAAATTATTAGAAGAATCGTAAAAATAAAAGTGTAGATATTATTAAAATTATATTTATAATTTGATGATTAATTATATTATAAAATTATAAATTATTAGAAGAATCATAAAAATAATTTAACTAATAATATATTTTGATATTTCATATTAATGTTATATTTTGATATGTGACGTTACAGTAGAATTTTCCGTAGGATAAGCGAAACAGCTGGGTGGTTAAATGCAGTTATGCTTAGAATGTAAACAAACAAATTCCGTAATTATTTAATGTCTTCTTCTGGATGTTAGGATAACACCTTCTTCCTTATTTGTCTCCACAGTTACTTGCTATTCACTAGTTTTACAGCCATTCATCCCCCCTGAAACTCTGCCGCCTTTCTCTCTTAAATATTCTAAAACCATCAAAACAACAACAACAACAACCCACTCATTCATTTTTTTTCCTTCTCTCTGTTTCATCCAGTTATGGCTGACGAGGTTAAGGAGAAGCATGTTGAGGAGTTCGTCCTGGAAAGTGATGATAATGAGGACGATCTTGAAGGGAGCAAGGCCGGCTACGGCAGCGAATGCAGCCTCAACTACAATAGCGATGATGATGGTGACGGAGGCCGACGAGGTCCTTCTACCACTTTCACTTCACAGCAATGGCCCCAAAGTTTCAAGTAATGCCCTTCCCTTCTCTTGTTCATGCACTGTGATTTTGCATCACATCGCGTTCTATTGTAAGAGGAAACATTGTTCAAATCTGGAATGAACCCTTTGTATTGATTAATGCGAGTAAAAAATCACTCTACTTGGTACATAGCTTTGAAAGAAAGAAGGGAGAATGTATGATCTGATGGTTCACATCTGCTATAAGAATTGGATTTTTGTCAAATCCTTCAAAATCAGTGCTTCTGTCTGTTGATGTTAACACGTGCAGATTTTAATTTTTTTTTTCTGGGTATTTCTTTGTGTTTGTTACAGAGAAACAATGGATCCTTATACAATCACGGCATCACCAAGCTTTGGAATCATTGGGGGAATTCAAAATTTGAGACATTTTAGTTTTACCAGTCAGAAAAGTAATTTGGAACTGGATGGAAGGCTTCCTCTTTTGAACGAGAATCGAAAGAGTTATTCCAAGGAAACTTTAGAGAGCATCTCAAGAGCACAGTCAGGGTGGTCACAGAGGCCATCATTCCCTAAGCAACTTACTGGAGAGTTTCCCATTTCTTATGGATGTAGCGTGACCCAGACCGTATTTAATTGTAAGTCATGTTGTTATCTGACACTTCAATTCATATAACTATTATGGTTGTGATTTAAGAAATTGACAATTGTTATATGGATGTTTCCTATGGTTTCAAAAAATTTGATAGCCATAAATGTAATGGTTGGAGTTGGGCTTCTATCCACACCTCATACAATAGCAGAAGCAGGCTGGGCAAGCTTGTTGGTTCTAGTCTTTTTTGCAGTTGTATGTTGTTACACAGCCACACTCATGAAATATTGCTTTGAAAGCAGAGAAGGGATTATATCTTACCCTGATATGGGTGAAGCTGCCTTTGGACGATTTGGACGCCTTTTAATATCTGTGAGTTATCCTTGGCTTCATGGTTTTAAGTATATTGAATCTTTTGTTATGCTATAATGTCATTACTGATGATAGTTGGACACTGATACATAAAAGTTTGTATTCGATACAACAATGCTTGTTCTCTAATAATATGCATTGTTTGTTGGTTTTATGCAGATTGTTCTCTATACAGAATTATATGTACGCTCGTGCTTCTCATTTACTTTTTGAATGGATTGCATGCTGCAACTTCTCTGTCTAATTAATGAATTTTTCATTTCACCTGTGCAGTCTTATTGTGTGGAATTTATTATCATGGAAGGTGACAATCTTACAAGGCTATTTCCTGGAGTTTCTTTGGATTGGCCTTTTCTAAAGTTGGATTCGATGCATCTCTTTGGAATTTTAACTGCCTTGGTTATTCTACCCACTGTCTGGTTAAAAGATATTCGTCTGATTTCATATCTTTCAGGTGCTCCAAAGATGCTCAATGTACCCAAAGTTCTGAAATGCTTTAAAAATTCATTATGAACTCATACCAGATTTCCCATTACTTATTTGCAGCTGGTGGGGTTGTTGCAACATTGGTAATAGGCCTTTGTCTTCTGTATCTCGGTACACTGGGTGGTGTTGGCTTCCATCATACTGGTAAAGCTGTGAATTTGAGTGGCATTCCTGTTGTAATTGGTGTGTACGGATTCTGTCATTCAGGACACTCTGTGTTTCCAAATATCTATCAATCAATGGCTGATAAATCACAATTTAAGAAAGCAATGCAAATATGGTAAGGAAATTTTGTTGTGGCTTCGAAGGATGTTTCTTACGCTCCTTTTGTCTTGATCTCCAGTTGATACTTTTTCTGCAGTTTCTTTTTGTGTATAGTATTGTACGGAAGTGTTGCAGTCATGGGTTATCTTGAGTTTGGTCAAAGCACATTGTCTCAAATAACTTTGAATATGCCACCACATGCTTTTGTTTCTAAAATTGCGTTGTGGACGACGGTATGTATGATTCTCTTTGTTTCAAAGGTATTTTCAGCGAGAGGGAGGTTTGTTGTTGTTTCTAAGTTACCTTTCTTCTTGTGCTACAGGTTATCAACCCACTCACAAAATATCCTTTTGGCTGTATATATTAGAATTCTGAAAATTAAATGAATGCTCATATGCTTTTAATATCCTTCCAAAATACCAATTTTCTTCCTTGACATCAAACAAATATGCATTATTGTTGATCCCCTTGGTGAGGAGCATAGAGGAGCTGCTACCAGATCATGTCGTGGATAGCTTATGGTTTTTCATTCTTCTGAGAGCAGTATTAGTTTTTTCCACCGTTGTCATTGCATTTGTCATGCCTTTCTTTGGTAAGTTTTGGAATTTGCTCTCTATCAATGATCTGGATTTAGTTATGTCTCATACTTCATGATGCAATAAATCGTATGAGCTAGTAAATAATCGTAGGCAGTGTCATTTCTTTTAAATCTGTGCCAAGTTATGCTTGCAAAATAGTAATCTGCAAAATCAGAATGCATATTATCAGAAGTGAAATTCAAGAATATCTACCTCATTGCCATGGTACTCGTGGTCAATAATCAATATTACCATCTACTTTTGTTCGGTTCAAATTGCCCATTCAACTTTGATTTTTGGTGCAATTCGATTGCACTATAGGGCTGGCAGAGGCCTAAGGTAAGCTAGCCAGCAGTTATCCAGAGTTGAACTGGCAAAGGCCTTCTAATAGGCTAGGAGCACTAGTTGGTGGCATGAGCTTGTACTATCGGACGAAACTGGAAGCACCTTCACTAGGCTAGGAACACTCGAACGAGTAAGCCGTAGTCCTTGTTATAACAATATCAAGTCATTCTTATGTAGTTAAACATTTTGGCATGCTTAAGTAGTTCCTTCTATCTTCTATTCGGTTGTAGTACGAAGAATAACTATCCATTGAAAGCTTCTTGTCAAGAAGCACCGCTATGAGCAACCTAATGAGTGGGACTCAAAAGAAGTATAACAAAATAAGTTCCTCTTCATATTAGTAACAACATGATCACATTTCTCAATAACAATTTTCGGGAGGAGGATGATTGTACAATGACTTGTAACCAAGGGATATATTATCATTAAATTTAGTATAAGAATTCAGAAATTGATATGTGCAATTGTCTTGACCACAGGTCTTCTGATGGTTTTAATCGGTTCTCTTCTAAGCTTCATGGTGGTAAGTATTGTGTTCTGTTTATTCAATGGAAAAAAAATCTTTTATGGAGGCTTCATTAAGGTAGTGAAGAAGAAAATGCATTTATCTTCTTCAAGTATAAACTATTTATATATATATTTTTTTCAGGCTCTAATAATGCCATCACTATGCTTCATAAAGATTGCCGGGAGAAAAGCTTCAAGGATAGATGTAAGCAAAATCAACTTGTTGCATACATTTAGTCTCCTTTTTTTTCGGTTAAAAAAAAGGGGTAAACTACATCAGATACCACTTAGTTTTTTCCACTGACTCGTTTACACTACTGAACTTTTAATTTTGCCAATTATAGCATTGAATTTTAGTTCTATATTCAATATTGTCACTCCGCCGTTAAGTCAGTAACGGGATGTTGATATAGCCAACGGTTACTAACATCGTCTGCCACATCAAAACAACGTCGTTTTAGTATGACTATTTTGATACATAAAACGATATCGTTTTAGACACTGAACTTAGTAACTATATTCAATTATCTTAATCTGTCGTTAAGTCGGTAACGAGACAATGACATAGCCAACGGTTACTGACGTGGTCGGTGTGACTGTTTTGATACATAAAATGACGTTTTAGACTTTGAACTTTAGTTCAATATTCAATTATATCACTCAGCCGTTAAGTCAATAACAGGTCAATAACATAGCCAACTATTACTGACATGGCCTGTCACACCAAAACAACGTTGTTTGGTGTGACTATTTTGATACATAAAACGACGTTGTTTTAGACATTGAACTTTAGTTCTATATTCAATTATGTTACTCTCCCGTTAAGTCAGTAATGGGACGATGACATAGCCAACGGTTACTGACGTTGTGACTGTTTTGATACATAAAATGATGATGTTTTAGACACTGAAATTTTAAACAGTTTACTTTTTTGGTACTGTACTTTCCGTCTGCTGTCAGCAGTCACTCACCGATCATCTTTCGTGGTAAAATCGCATTCCATTTCTTTTTCTTCTCATATGATTAGTTTTGGGATGCCATCTCCATTGCTTATTAAGCTCTCATCAAACGATTGCTTTTTTGAACATGTAAACAGGTTGTTTTGAGTGCAACAATCGTTGTAATTGCCACCGTGTGCGCTATCGTTGGGACGTATACTGCATTGCGTGGGATTGTGAATAATTACTGATACATAGGGCATAGGTTCCTGCACATGTAGATTGTCATCATGTGGATGTTGCTGCTGGGAACAAGGATGAAGACATATATTTGATTAAGAATACTTTATTGCAAGACATTAAAGAATATTAGGATGATTGGTCATGTTATAGTGGTGATTGCTTTCATGGCTCTCACCACTTTGCTTGCTCACATTTTATTATAGGTTAAGGCCTTTGTTCCTGGGGTTGTATCTCACCCATTCAATGACTATTGACTAAGGTTTCACTGAATTCTAATTCTTACCATCTTTCTATTTTATTTTTTATTTAGTTATTTAATTTATCTAATAGAAATGAAATTTTATATATGCATATATTTAGGTCGGGTAGAATCAGATGCAGATGTTAACTTAAAATATCAGGTTAAATTATTGAGTGGGAAATCTCGTAAATCCGAATCGATTAAATTTGAAGGTGAAAGATTGTAATTTTTACGTCAGGTTCGTATAGAAAATCTAGTCCGACCCGACTCATTATCATTTTTAGATTTAGGGGTGCATCTTATAATTATATAAAACTTTTTCTTTCATTAGGATAATTGAAATAATATATTTTTCTATTTTACTTTTTAATTGCTTCCTTAATTTATCTAATAAAAATAAAATTATATAATATTTCCGTCCCATAACTTGTGTTTCATATTGACTATGCACATAGTTTTAGGAGATAAATTTGACTAAGGGAAACGATAAAATTATCTCTAAAAAGTGATTGATAGATTTGATAAATTTATTTTGATAGTTGTAAAAGAGTGAGACTTATAAAGATAAAAATTAAAATATAAGTGTTGTTTATTGACTTTTCTAATAGGATATTTTGAATTGGAGAATTTTAAAAATTAAAAGAGACACATTTAGTGGGATAGGAGTATATATTTAGGTCGGATCAAATTAGATGCAGATTTTAACTTAAATTATAGGTTGAATTCTCGAGTGAGAAATCAATCCAAATAGCATAGATTTACAGGTGAAAGATTATAATTTTTACATTATGTTCGGATAGATAATCTAATCCGACCCGACCTATTATCATTCCTAGATTTAGGATTGGATAGTTGGAGGCTGCCATTATGGGCCTTTAGTAAGGGGTTAATTGGATAAATTTCAGGTTTTTAAATTATAAATATAATTATTATATTCAAATATATATAATAAATATAATATGCTGGTCAAGTCAGATTTGACCTCTAAAAATTCTTCCTAACGATCCATGGTCAGAGTAAAAAACGTACTTCAAATCCTGATAAATCAATTTTTTTTAAAAACTTTTGTGATTGATCGAAGTTAAATTGAACTTTAAAAAATATTTTATTTTAATAATGTATAATATTGATTTAAATAATTTTTATTTAAAAAACAACTTAAATATATCAAATTACACTATCGAAATTAGGGATGTAAATGAACAGACTATTCGACGAACTGTTCATGAACCATTCATGTAACTTTTGTTTATGTTCATTTATTAAGCTAAATTAACGAAAATGAATTAAATTTTTATATAATTTTAATAAACGAACAAATATGAACAAAGGTGTGTTTAATTCAATTGTATTCAAGAGCAAGCTCATTTGTTGGTGTAGATACTCATTTTCAACCAAGACTAATTTTGAGTTGTATATATATATTATGTTATATTTACTTATATTTATTAGTATTTATTTATAATTTTTATCATTTATTATTTATTATCTTATCTTATTTATTATTTTTATCATCGTTATCGTCGTCCTAATCATCATCATCATCTAAATTGGGTTTGGTCACTTTGTAGGTACAATAAGTCCAAGAAGGGTCCAACAAGAGCCCGTCATGAAGAGTTAAAGAAACAACAACCCAAAATACACAAAGGATGAAGGCCCAACTAGGGAAGTCTGATCACCTGACGCAACGAATTAAGGTTTCCAGATGTTAGTTTCAGCGCCGCTCAATGACCATCGTAGGATTAGAGAAGCATCAATGCTCTAGATATCACGCAGGTTAGGGTTTTAAAACCTTAAGCCTTGGTGCCTTGATAAATTATAATTTTTATTGGGTTTAATTATTTATTTTTAAAATAAATTGAATAAATGTTAATTTTAAAGATATTGGCTTATCTTGTAGTTTTACCAACTTATTTTTAGTAATCAATTTCCCTCAAATTTTTGATTTTAGAATTCTATTTATAGTGTAATTCCTAAGTTTGTTTTATTTCAAGTTCTTTTCCTTATTATCTCATAAATATTATCTTATTATCTTAAATTGTTTATTTTATATTATCTGTTATATTATTTATTTATTTTAATTATCAAATATATTCCATAAACTATCTATTTTAGAATTGATTTTAAATAAAACTTCTATTTTTATCTCTATCTTTATCTTTATTTTAGTTAAATTTGATCTTATCAATTTATAAAGTATTTTTTATTTTTTTCCTAAATCTTATATATTGTCATGAAATAAAGAGAGAACAAATTCATCTTTTCCCTTATTATTTCGTTTCAAATTCAGCGACTATTAATTTAAACTATTTTTCTAAGATCGTGTGGCCTTTCTTCACTAAACTTTCTCCACTAGATTCCGACCACAAAAGTCTTTGCTCGTTAGTATATTTATTGTTATACGATTTAAGGTGCATGTTTATGTTTAATAGTTTTTCTGTCAAATATGGAATAATTAAATTCTTATCGATGTTGTGATGATGTATTTAAATCTCTATGTATCTTTATATGATGCTAAATCTTTTTTTTATAATTGTTTGACTGGTTAAAAATTGGTTTGAAGCATGATTTTTTTGTGATATTACTATATTAAATTCATTTTGGATAAATATGTTATGTGACACATGTTATATATCGATTTCAGAATTTATGCTATGTATTCGTACTTTGATATTATGTAAATATTTTTATATTCAGATCAGATCGGAATTCAGATATGTATATTTTGATGTCATGACACATTAGGATGAGATTGATAGGGGAAGTTCATTGTGTTCACCCGATGGGGTGAATTTCACTTTGGATTCAGTGGTCTCTAGCTTTGTGACGGACCTCGCTTCGGATGGTGTGTTGTAGTTAGAGTGGTTATGGGAAACCTACTATTCGGACGATGTGCGGTGTATGGGTGCATTACATTTACATATTTATTCGTACCATGAATATTATGACTCAGATTCTGATAATGCTTGTTGATTGTTTTTTTGAATATTTTGTTTATTCGCACTTTTTGACTGCACTGAGCTTTATAGCCCACCTCCTTTATTTCTCCATTTCAGATATTTCAGGATGTTAGGATTGGATCGACATCTTGAGGATCAAAGTCTCAGATTTAAATTATATGTTGATAAAATATTTTTCAATAAAATGATAATAACTATATAAATTATTTGTAATTCTAATTTAATATCTAATAAATTGTTTTGAATTAAATTATGTATCACTACGTTGATCAATGTGTCTTTCAAGATTCGACCGTAACATTAGGACGAGTCTTGGGGGTTACATAGCTGCACACATACACACCGACATATCAAGGAAGATCTAACAGAGTTAAAGGTATCACTAAAGGGTGTGTTTAGTTCACGGAATGTAAGATTACCAGTGTGAATAAAAGATTACCAGGGAATAGGATTAATGTGAATGTTGTATTTTGTGTTTGGTTGGTTTAACATGAATGTAAGATTATCGTGTT